GCCCCCTGGAATGTCAGACACTGCAGTCTGAAAATCACGGGATCACAGAACAGAATCATGCAGTGGTTGGGGTTGGAAGGGGCCTTAAAGATCACACAGTTCCCCAACCAAACCCACCTGCCATGGGCAGGGACACCTCCCACCAGCCCAGGTTGCTCCAAGCTGGCCTTGGACACTTCCAGGGATCCAGGGGCAGCCACAGCTTCTCTGCCCAACCTGTGCCAGGGCCTCCCCACCCTCCCAGGGAGAATTTCTTCCTAACAGAGCAGCCCTTGATGCCCAGATCTTTGCCACAAATGAACAACTCCCAAATGATCCCGAGAATGGCCCTGCAGCACTCCCAGCCATGCACCCCTCCCAACACACTCCCAAAACACAAGGCCCCTGCTCCTTCCCCGCTGAACACGAACCCAAAGAGGTGTAAAGCTGCCAAACCCGAGCTCTGCCTGAGGCTTGGCTTGATGGATGGCAGAGCTCAGCTGGGAGCTGTTTGATTTGGGTGAAAGACACTGTGTGGGAAGCAGCCCCTGCCTGAGCTCCAAGGTGTGTGTAGGAGCCAGCTCGGTTTCATCTCAGCTGACTCCGAGCAGCAACGTCGCTCTGCAGAAAAAAAATGAAATTCCAGGAGCTGTGGAGGGGGATGGAGGTCAGGACGAGTCTCTCCATTCACTTCTGCAGGGATGAGAGAGGCAGTGAAGCTTTCAATGGGAGCCCGGGAATTTATCCATGAAAGGGCTGTGATGGATCTGGTGTGGTGCTGACAGAGGAGATGGTCTGGAGTGTGCCTGCCTTGGCCAGTTCTCTGGGCTTACATCCTTGAATTCTCACCTGGAAAAAGCCCTGAGACTTCTTCCCAGCAAAGCCAGCAGTGTCCCTTCATCACTGAAACATGGAATGGTTTTTGGGTTGGAAGGGGCCTTTAATGGTCATTTAGTCCAACCCCCTGCCATGGGCAGGGACACCTTCCACCAGCCCAGGTTGCTCCAAGCCCCGTCCAACCTGGCCTTGGACACTTCCAAGAGGATCCAGGGGCAGCCACAGCTTCTCTGCCCAACCTGGGCCAGGGCCTCCCCACCCTCTCAGCCAAGAATTTCTCCCCAATATCCCATCTAACCCTGCCCTCTGGCAGTGGGAAGCCATCCCCCCTTGTCCTGTCCCTCCGTGCTCTTGCCCAAAGTCCCCCTCCAGCACCAGTTCTTCGAAGTCCTTTAGACTTGGAAAGGATACAGGTACAGATACAGGTTTGATACAGAACCCCATACTTTGCATGAAAACCCAAAGATCTCAATTTCTGCTCCTTCTCCTCGAAGTCCAACCAAAAGCTGGAACCATCAACACCCCCAAGGGCTGCTCGTGGCCTCCTGCATCCCCCCCTTTACTTGGAGAGACCTCCTTGGTCTCGAGCGTGTTCAGCCTGCCATGAAGCTCTAGCTGGTGATGAGGCAGCCCTTGGCACCGATATTTCCGAGCACCCCCAAACCATCTGCTCCAGCTTCATCCCTCTTCTGGGTCCCTGTGAGGAGGAGGAGACTCCAGCTGAGAGAAAGGGACAGGCCGCCCACTTGTGCTGAGTAACCATTGCCAAATTGGATGCCAGCACACACACACACACACACACAGAGAAATATTTCCACCGAGGTTGCTACGAACAATGGGCTCTTGATTATTTGCTGTCTCCAACACATATGCCTTTGGCAGGTCTCCACGGGGGGAACAGGCAGTCCAAGCACTGACCCTCCTGCTCTCAGGCCATTCCCACATCCAGCAGTGCCAGCTGAGGGGGTGTTTCACCAGCCAGGAACAGGACGCGATCCCTGGCCCTGGGAGTTTGCAACACGAGGGCTGGCACGTGGGCAAGGGCACAGCCAAGTCCTGAGCAGTGATGGGGGAGAAAACTCTGCCTCCTCAGACCCGGAGAGACCTCAGGGAAAGCTTGGCCATCTCCTCGGACGACCCCAACCCCACCTTGTTACCGTCTTCCTGCCCTTCCTTCAGGCCTTCCCGTGGCGTCTGGGAAGATGTGAGGGAATGTCCAGCCAAGGTTTGTCGGTCCTTTTTCCAAGGGCGTGACAGAGCAGGGACACCCTGGCTGGCTCTGTGCTCACATCCAGGTGGTGTCCTACCTGAAAGGTGAACACCAGCCATGGAGGAAGCACTGGAAGATGTTTGAACCCGGGAGATGTGATGAGTTGAGCAAAAAGTGCTGCTTGCACAAGATGAGAACCTTGTGAGATGTTTGCTAGCAGAGAAATCAGAGTGACTGTCCAGTGCTGGCCACTCCCTTAAGCAAAGTGGAAAAGGGACTGAGGTTCTTGGAAGCCAAGTGTTTGATCTGAACAATAATTGTGCTCCACAGAGGTCTTTGCTCAGCCCTAGGCTGGTTCCTCCCTTCCTTCTGGAGAAAGCCTTCCAGAACCCCCCTCAGCCCGTGGCTAGCCCAGCTTTTGCACTGTCTACAAATAGTTGGTGCGTGCTGAAAAGAGCAGATCTGAAACCACAGTTGGCAAATTGCACCAACAAGCATATTCTCAGCGAGGCATTGTTCCAGTTTGTATATGTCTGAAAAGAACTGTTCAGGCATATGTTAAAGTTGGCACCTTCTCCCTGGGACTCGCTGCAATCTGACGGCTGGAGCATGATAACCACAGCAAGGCACACAAAACACTCAGCAAATGAGGGAAAACAAAGTCCACTCGGGATGCTGGAGGGGCTGGGATGAGGACAAGGAGCAGAGGCACAGCACTGTCCTCTGGAGAGGGAGCTCTGTCCCAGCCAGAAGGCATCTGCAAAGCACTGCTTGGAAAGGGGTGAGGAGCAGGGGAGGGGAGGACAGCAGAAAACCTGCTGCCCCCAGTGCTACTCCCAGGATAATCCTTATAAAAGGGCTCAGCCACCGAAAAGGAGAGTGAACCCAAAGCATATGAGGTGTCCTGCAGGCTCTGGGCTCCAACCCACGCCGAAGGAAGCAGTGACTTGCTGTGGGAGTGGACTCAGTGGGGACACACAGCACACTGAGGGTTCTCAGCCTGGCAAAAATAAATCTCTCCCTTGGAGAGGCTGGAGAATTTTAGGGGGAAATATCGCCCTGGGCTTGCTTTTCCTTGAGTGTCCATGCACAGCTGCAGCTGGGGGCAGGATGCTGGGCTGACCTGGTGGAGCTGCAGCATCGTCAGGGCATCCTCTTGTGAGGTTAACTTTTGGCAGTGCTGGGTTAACTTTTGGACTCAACGATCTTAGAGGTCTTTTCCAACCTGAATGATTCTGTGACTCTGGTTCTCAGCTGCAAAACTGGCCCTGCCCCAGCCTGGGCATGATCCATCATTGGATGGGGGCACATGTGCAGATTCCTTCTTCATCCCCTCAGGAGCAGCCCAGTGGCCCTTGGAGAGGGCAGCTGGAGCTCATCCTCCCTCAGGTGTGGCTTTCTCCACGTTGGTGCTCAGTCCTGGAGGTGTGTGACCAGGTGAAGAACAGAGGGGGGTTTGCCCTTCCCTGGCATGACCCCTGGAAGAGGCTGCACCACCAGGCTCAGAGGAGACCAGGCTGCCTGTGAACACTTTTGGCCTCTGAACTGCTTTGCTTGGACAGGGATAACCCTGCTGGGTCCTGGGCACATCTTCATCTCCGTGGGGCAGTCCCAGGGTACATATCTGACTTGACCTTCTCTCCCAGCAGCTCTGCTCTCTCTCTTGGCCCTGCCAGGTTTCACAGCAAAGTTGTCCATGCAGGATCTGAACTGCTCCATTGCTTGGCAGTGCTGGTGGGAAGCAGCAGAATCCCATCCACAGGAGAAGTGGCTTTGTCCCGGGCTCTAATCCCGGTCCTCAAAGGTGACTGACTAAGTAAATCACAGAGCCTCAGCTGCCCTTTCCATCCCAGGAGGATCACACACAGCCTCTGGATCTCTGGCAGCCACAACCTGTGCACGGAGACACTCAGTGCCTGCAGTTGTGTGGGAGCAGCCGAGTGCCTGTCCGGCACCATTAGCAGGGATAATTAATTACCTGCCCTGCCATTTCACTGGAAAGCAGCAGAATGAAGTGGCAGCAATTCCTGCCTCTTTCCTCTCTCCTGGGACTCCTGGCAGGTGAGCAGGAGTGGTGTAAGCTCCATATATCCACAGAAAGGCCAAGGGAAGCAGAGCCTAATTGTGTGTGTGTTGCAGGATCTAAACTTGCTGCAGCAGCCCCAGTGCTGGGGTGAAGCTGGAGGCAGGGACATGTGCCACCAACCTCAGGAGCTTTTCCTTTTACTCTTCCTTCTGGCACCTCTCATTTCTCCTTGGAGAAGACAATTCTGTGCTGTGTCACTCTCAGGACCTGCCCTGCCTTCAGTTTGAGTCCTTGGCCACTTGAATGTCCCTTTTTTAGTTAATCTGTGTAAAAGAGAGTTCAGGGGGGGTTGCCCCCTCTGTGAGCTCAGGGGGTGGGAGCTCCCCACGAGATTAACTTTACTTCCCCATCCCATTCCCACTGGAGACCCCCAGGGGTTCAGGCTGTGCCCCCCAAAGGGCTCTACCCTTGGAGATGAGAGGAAATAGGGATCAAAATGAGATTTTCATGGTGAATGCAGGCTTGTCTGTCACCCCCCAGCCTTGTCTGTCACCGAGGGGCTGCCTGTGCCCCTCAAACCCCAACCGTGCCCCCGAGACAACCCCTGACCCCTTTCAAGGGGCAATGTCGGGGCTCAGTCATATTGGGGGAGCTCTTTTTTGGGGGGCACGAGGGCGATGAGACATGGTGAGGCTGCAGGGCACCGAGCCAAGGCACCACCAGCCCCCAAATATCCCCTGTCCCAGAGCCCTGTGGGGGAAGGGGACGAAGGTGGAGGGGTCCGTGGAGCATCCCAGCCTCCCCAGTCAGGTCCATGGGGACAGAGCCCTGTCCTGGGGGGGGGGGTGGCGAGGGAAGAGTTAAAGGCAAGGCGAGCAGATCCTCCTCCATCCTCCCGGTCCTCGCTGTTAGGCTGCCGCTGTGACAGGGGGTGGGGTCGGGGCTGGCCGCCGTTTGCCGCAAGAAGGGGGGGGAAACGTGGCTGCGAATGTGTGTGTGTGTGTGTGCGTGTTGGTGACACAGGACAAAATGAGATGAGACCCCTCGGACGGGAGCGGCCGCCCGGCTGCGATCCCTGATCCCTGCCCGCTGCCTGCCCGCTCCCGCACAGCGCTGCGATCGCCGCCGGGCACCGGCGCAGCCCCGGCATCCCCGCCAAGAGTAAGGCTCGGGGTGGGGAGGAACTGGGAGGAACTGGGAAGCGGCACTGGGAGTGGGGGGAGTGGGATGGGGCGCGGGGTGGCGGGGAGGGGGCTCTCTCGGGGGTGGGAGAGGTGTGGGGTGCACGGAGAGCGAGGTGGGGGACCTGATTGATGCTGGAGCTTCGCTCGCCTGAACCACCCACCCAGATGTAATTTGGGGGGAGGGGAGGATTTTGGGGAGGGGTGGGGGTGGAGGATGGGCTGCCAGCGCCGATTTCGGGTGTGATGGAGGGGAGGGAGCCTTGTTTGTGCCTAAAGTCGCGGCTGCCTGGATTTGGCCCCGCGGGGCCGTTGGGATGTGACAGCACCCAAAAATAGAGTGCGAGGCGGGGAGGAGCGGGGGGCAGACCTGTGTGCCGGGGCCAGGGCCAGGTTATTCCCCCTCCTCAGCCTTTCCTCGTCTTCTTTTTTATTTATTTCTTTATTTCTTCGGCAGTGATGTCAGGGAGGGGAGCGGTGGCTGGGGCTGGGGGTTGGATTCACGGGAAGGAGGTTGCTGGCGGCCGAGTGATTAACGTGCAGTTGCTGGGAATTATGTCATCTGCCTCGGTGCTGGGTGGCCCTCGCCCAGGAGTGGCGGTGGGGAGGGAGGGAGGACGTGGGGGGACGTCATGACACGGGGCTCCCCGCCTGGGGCTTCACCCAAGGAGGCACCGATGCCTGCCTGGCTCTGCGAGGACTCGGGCAGCCAGCGTTCCCACCCCAGCGTGGGGTTCCCCACTTGGGACAGCACCCCAGGAGGCACCGATGCCTCCCTGGCTTTGCGAGGACGTGGACTCTTGAGTGTTTCCCCCCGCCCATCGCAGCCCCCAAGCCACGGGCTCACGCTGGAGGGGCTGTGGGTGCACACCCACCCCGCTGCCCTCTGTCCCGGGGGGCCCAGACCCGCGGGCTCCCTCCCCACGCGGGAGAGGAGCAGGTTGTTGCTCCTCCCGGTGGCTCGTCCTGCTCGTTGGCCCGACAGCCGGGCTTGGAGCAGGCGGTGGAGGAGGGGGGGATTGGGCCGTAGGGAAGGAAGGATGAGGGTGGCAACCCCTCTGCCAGCTCCCCGGGAGAGAGAGGGGCTGGAGCTGCTGCAGTGCAGCACAGAGCCCCATCCGGGGCTGTGGGTGTGCCCGAGGGGCGCAGGGACCCCCCTCTGCCACCCCCTCCACTCCTCAGAGCCCAGGCGAGAGTCTGGGGACCTGTGGATGCCAGTGGGCCCCCCCCTCCCACCAAGGCTGGATGATCCCTCTGCTCCAGAGGCGGGTTTGGGCTGCTGGATGCTCCACACCCTCCTGGGCATCCCCCTGAGCGTTCCTTGAGCACCCCCTGAGCGTTCCTTGAGCACCCCCTGAGCGTTCTGAGCACCCCTTAAAATTCCCCCCTTAGCACTCCCTGAGCATCCCAGTCCTCTTCCCCACGTGGGGAGCTGGGGAAGGAGGGCAAGGCCTGTCAGTGAGCCAGGCACGGACCCCGCTGCACATCAACAACCTCTTCCCTCTGCTCCACACCTCGTGCAGCTCCATGAATCCCCGTGCAGCTCCACGAATCCCCGTGCAGCTCCATGGATCCCCGTGCAGCTCCATGGATCCCCGTGCAGCTCCACGGATCCCCGTGCAGCTCCACGGATCCCCGTGCAGCTCCATGGATCCCCGTGCAGCTCCACGGATCCCCGTGCAGCTGTGGATCCCCGTGCAGCTCCACGGATCCCCGTGCAGCTCCATGGATCCCCGTGCAGCTGTGGATCCCCGTGCAGCTCCACGGATCCCCGTGCAGCTCCGTGGATCCCCGCGCACCACGGCAGAGGGTCGGGCAGGGAGAGGAGCAGGCAGATGCAGGCAGGAGGGCTGCAGGAAGCTGTGGAGTGGAGGTAGGAGGGGAGGGCATGGCTGCAGCGGGTCATTTTCTGGCATTTTCTGCCCCACAACAAGAGGGGGGGGGGATGCCAACAGCTCCTTTGATTCGAGCTGGGAGTCAGCGGGTGCGATCCAAGCCGGGGGATGCCACTCGCCCCACGGGGTAACCTTTGGCAACTCCCTCAGCTCTCCGTGCTCTGCTTTCAACACCCTCCAGCACATCCTTCATCCTCCAACCCGCTCCGGCGGCGGATCGTGCCCCGCGGCCGAGCCCTCCGTGGAGGTGCTGGCACGTCAGGGGAGCTCAGGACCTCCGAGCACCCCCAGTTTGGGGCGGGCAGGGCTGGGAGGCTCCTGCATCCCGCGCGGTCCCCTCTCCCGTGCCCTCTCCGCGCGGGGCTCCGTGCGCCGGGCGGTTTGTTTATGTGTGGCCCTGGTTGGAGCAGCGGCGATCTGCCGTGGCTATATATAGCAGCGATGCTGTCATCCGAGTTCAGCCTGGCTGGGGAATTTATTTTCTGCAAAGGCTGCGAGGCGAACGGGCTGGAAACAGGCGTGGAAATGCCGGAGCGGCGTGATCCCCTGCCCGCGCTCACGCGAGGGAATGGGGCACGGTTCTCCCGAGTGGTGGCCTTGTGGTGACAACGGGGAAGAGGAGGGATGTGTGGAGGGGCTGAAATGGGCTCCCTGGGGCGGCGGTGGGCGCTTAAAAAGCAGCGCCAGCAGCTGCATGTCTCCACGCAGCAAAGAGATTCCCTCCTGCTCAGACTCTTCTCTGCTGGGTCGCTGGGCTGATGGCCCAAGGGACCAGCCCCCAGATCCAAAAGGGAGGAGGGGAAAAGCATCGGGAAGTCCGACGTGTGGTTGTAGGTATCTGGGAGACAGCAGCAGCTGTAGCTTGGGCTGGGAGAGCCCCACGGGGGCTGCAGCATCGGCCCTGGGCACCCGGTGCTGCGCCCAACACGGGGGCATCACCGCTGTCGTGGTGCACGATAAGGGCACCTCTGGTTGCCCATCCAGAGGGAAAACAGGAAGTAGGAAGAAAGATGGTCCCCTGACTTGCAAAAAAACAGGCAGATGGGGAGGGTGTTTTCCAAACGCGCTGTGAAAACCACGTTGCATCGGCAGGCAGAGGCGCTCGCTGAGCGGTAACTCCGTGTTGGAGCAGGAATGTGGATAAACCGGGCTGCAAAAAAAGTTTCTGAAGGGGAGTTATGTCCCGGCTGGGAAGGCTGAGAGTTAAGGGGGGGGGTGTTGCTGGAACTGTTGCAGGGCTTAAAATCTGCTTTGTGCTGAGGGGGAACTGAGCCCAGCCGTGCCCGGGGGCTGTCAGAGAAACCCGGCAAGCAAAGGGTGAAACACGGAGATTTCTTGTTTCCCTTCGCAGAGGATCTTTCCCATTAGTCATTCCTGTCACAGGAGCTGGCAAACACGGTTATTATTTGAGGGATCTGAAAGTGAAATGGAGGCACGAGGCCAGGAGCCCAGACATTCCTGCCCCTCAGGACGGGGGAGCTGGCAGGGACCCCCCAGCCCCTCCAGCTCATCCACGGGAAAAGCCTTTGGACTCCACGCTGGGTCAGTGGATTCACTGTCTGGCTCCTGCTTTCCACAGCCTGGGAGTTGTTCTCATGGAACCTGGCCTAGTGAGTGCCCATGGAAGGGGGTTGGAAGTGGGTGGTTGTTAAGGTCCTGTCCGTCCCAACCCATTCCAGGGTGATCCATGCAGGACACGGTGGCACCAGGAGCCATAGGGGTAGGCTGTGATGCTCCATCCTGGAGGTGGTGGTGGATCAAGGACTTGGAGATCCTGCAGTAAGCTGGGTGGTTCCCAACATGCATCCCCAAACTCAGCTCTCCCACCATCCTCATGCTCCCGTGGGGGAAAGGACCACATTGACACCTCCCAGGCAGGACAGGAAGGTCCATGCAGCTCCTTAAACAGCAAGGAAAGCCAACACAAGTGTTAAGGCAGCTCTCAGGAGGGAAGGATGGCTTATGCCTTACAATCCAGGTTTGGCTGGAGCCAAGAGCTCTCCTGGCAGAGGGAGCTGAAAGTCCCCTTGAGCCGCTGGAGGAGCTGCAGGAGCTCCTGCTCCATCTCAGTGAAGCTGCTGCAAGGCTGGGAATCAGCCTCACAGGGATCTTAGCTGAGTTTCTCTCTCCCAAAATTGGGGTTTTTTGCCATGAGTATGTGGATCCTGTTGGCTTTATCCAGTTCCTGAGTCAGAAAGATGAGTTTTGTCTGAGTCTTGCTGGGATTTGACCCACTATGAGGCTCGGTGGCCATGTCTGCCTTCCACCCCATGGCTGGCAGCTTCCTTCCCCCATGTGTACATGGAGTTTGGGAGTGGTCACAGGGGCTGGAAACATCCTGAATTTTCCTTTGGCTTAAAGGAGGAGGGCTCATGGGATAACACCACTCCAGCATGTGGAGCCTCACTGGAGGATGCCGACCGTGGGCAGCCCCTGTGTGCAGAAGGATCTGGGATGGCTTCACCTACAGCAGCCCTGAGCCTCCTTTTCTCCAGGCTGAGCCCCCCCAAGCTCCCTCAGCCGCTCCTGCTGCTCCAGCCCCTTCCCAGCTCCGTTCCCTTCCCTGCACACGCTCCAGCCCCTCAGTGTCTCTCCTGTCTGAGGGGCCCAGAGCTGCCCCCAGGGCTGGAGGTGCCTCAGCAGGGCCAGCACCGGGGGTGGGAACTGTCCTAGTCCTGCTGGTCATGTTATTTTTGATCCAAGCCAGGTGTCCTTGGCCTTCTTGGCCACCTGGGCCTACCTGGAGTGGACCACTGTAGGCTGGAATCCCCCGATCCTTTCCTGCCAGGGCAACGGAGCCCGTTCCCTTTGCAAGAAGCCCAGGAAAAAAGGCAATCAGATCATTAACACATGCTGCTCTTCACACAACCAACCTCACAAATATTTATCAGCTGGAGAAACACACGGGCTCGGAAGTTGCCAAGTAACATAACAAGAGGCGCTTTTAAATAAATATATGTGCGTCTGCGGGTGACGAATTAGCCAAATCCCTTGGGATGTGGCCCAAAGATATGTTTTCCTCTGGAAGCCCGGCACCAGTAATAAAAATAATGATCCAAGCCAGGGACTAAACCTGGGATAAGCA